CAAGATTTTGCTCTTTTGCAGAGCGAGATGAGATCGCCAGGTCTCTGGGCAGCATCTCCTCCCCTACCTTTGGCTGGGAAAAGCCGAACCACTCAAACGGTGTGTCCAGGCTGGAAGGGGCCAAGGGCTGGATGAGGGTGGGAGATGGGGTACCCTCGATGTCCTGCCACAGCTGGAGCATCCACTGTGCCCTCAGTACCCTGGGCACGTGGGCTGAGCTGCCCTCCCAGGTACTGGGCAGCAGGACACACCTCTGGGTGCATCATGTTCCCACTGTGCTTAACTGTTCCCCCTTGCAGGGCCTCCATCCAGCCCCTCCACCACCTCCATGGGCTCCCAGAAATCCACAGAGAGCATCACAGGCTCCAGGTGACACTGTGGGATGGGGGGATGCAAGGGACCAAAAAAATGGTGTATTGTGGGGAGAAGGGGACAGTGCCACTTTTTGGGAGATGCTGGTCCCCTGTCCCCTGCCAGCTCCTGCAGCATAAATGGGGGGGTTTGGTACTTCAGCCCCTTCCCTGCAGCAGCTTGGTGTCCAGCTGTCTTTCAGGAATCCCTCCCAATCCTGTTATCTTGCCTGTGACCCCACAGGTTCAGCCTGAGCAGGCGCAGGGGTCCCAGCCTGGTGCTGCGCCCGCAGTGCCTCAGCCCCGAAAGCGAGCGCCCCAGCAACCATGCGAGCCACGACTACCTCCCGCTGGTAAGGACCTGCTGCCTGTCCCCTGTCCCCATCCCAGGGGGGAACCTGCCCTGCTGGGTGCCAGCTGAGCCACCCAGGTTGTGCCCGGCTGCACGAGCAGCAGAAAATGCTCCCAGTAGGTGCCTGCTCAGCCCTGCTGTGTCCTTAGTCTGTGGGGCTCTTGGTAGGCATTTTTGGGGGGCATTCGACTGTCCCTGTGCCCCAAGGACACTTCTGCAGCCCCCAGTGTTTGGTGCTGCGGTGGGTCTGCACCCCTGCCTGCCTCCCCACTCGTCTGTCCCCCCTCCTTGCAGGTGCAGCTGCAGCAAGCCCGGGGGCCGTTCCAGCTCACCGAGAGCTTCTCTGAAGTGGTGCAGATCCCCCTGGACCGCCTGCGCCGCGCCTCCCCCTACGCCTCCCACCGTGCCAGCCTCAGCCCCGTGTCCCCGGGGGCCAGGAGCATGCCTGAGGCAGGGCCCGGGGCTGAGGAGGGCGAGGAGCCCATCACAGCCCCGCAGCCCAGCTCGCCCCCATCCCGCAGCACTTGCTCCGAGGTGCCCAGCGCAGCCGCGTGGGCGCAGGCGGACAGCGGGCACGGCTCCGAGTCCGACACCGGGCCCCACTCGGCTGCCCCCTCTGAGGCCGGTGTGAGCTGCCAGGACATGGGGCCAGAGGATCTGGAGAGTGCCAGCTGGGCCACGGCGGTGGCCTTGGCGTGGCTGGAGCACCGCTGTGCTGGGTTCTTTGAGGAGTGGGAGCTGGTGGCGGCCAAGGCGGATGCGTGGCTGCAGGCGCAGCGCCTGCCCGAGGGGGTGGACGTGGGCTGCCTCAAAGGGGCAGCCAGGCACTTGTTCCTGCTGCTGCGTCACTGGGACGAGAACATCAAGCTGAACATGCTGTGCTACAACCCCAACAACGTCTGACGGCCGCCCAAGGGGCCAATAAAGACACCTGGCTCCGAGCCACCTGCGCTGGTGTCTCTGTTATCAGCAGAGAGCTGCTGCCTCCATTCAGGCCATGCCAGGACTCACCAGAACCCCAGGAGGGGGTCACCAGCCATCTCTGGTGGGAGGGAGCAGGCAGGGGAATAGGAAAAGCTGTACTGGAGGGATTCCTGGGCTCCATCAAAGCAAATGAAACCTTGAGGCAAAGCAGTTTTGCAGCTCCTCTCTTCTAACCTCACCCCAGAGGCTGCTGCCTAGCCCTTCCCACAGCTGGGAAGCGAGAGTGCCCATGGCTCCAGAAGATGCTCTGCCTTCCCTCAGGTGAGGCAAGTCCAGGGACAGCTGTTCTGACATCATCACAGGACAAGGATTTTGGGGAAGGGCACACAAAGCCCCCTTTATTCGGAAGTCCTGCCTTTTGGGGTCCCCACACCTGCCCCCTTTGCACAGTTCCAGGGCTCACGGCCTTCTTGGGATTGCTGTGGGCAGCCTGGGAGTCAAGTGGGAAAAGAGCAGGCAGATGGGGCAGTTCCAGAGGCCAGTTCCTACCGGCCATCCCCACTCTCACTGGGCTTTCTTGGACATGGCTGTGGGTTTCCTGCTCGGTGCAGGGGTGTGTGACACTGGTGTGGGGGCTGTGCCGTACCAGAGTTGGAGCAGGATGAGTCCATGGCAGATGTGCAGGGAGAGGGAGCTGCAGACTGTGGAGGGGTAGGTGTTCCAGCAGAGCTCGATCACGCCCAGCAGCAGCACCCTGTGCAGGGGGAAAGCTGGGGGTCAGTGTGGGGGACACACCAGCCATCCTCGCTCCCAGCCCCACAGCAGATGGGTGCTCCCCCTCCCTGCCAGCACGTACTTGGGCATGTGGGCGAGCTTGGTGGTGGGGGTGCACCAGAGTAGGTAGGGCAGTGTGTGGAAATACCAGACATAGAACTGGTAGTGCAGGGAGCGGCTGCAGCAGACACCCAGGAAGTTGGAGGAGAAGAGGATGAAGACAATCCATGCACTGGCATTAAGGGGGCAAACACAGGAGGCTGGAGCTGTGGTCCCACATCAGCTCCCCAGCATAGCTGCTTTTCCCAGGGCAGGCTGGTACAACAGCACTGCATGACCTGGGACCCAACCAGGTTTCTGCCTGCCCTCTCCTTCCCTCCTTGCTGCCCACCCTGCCAAAGGATATTGTTGACAGTCAAGCGAGGGGATGCGGGTTTTCTTTTGGCAGGATCCTTCAACAGAGTCAGGATGTTCTCTTTGGAACTGAGAGGGAAGAACAAACATTGATCTAAGCTGCTCAAAGTCTCTCCCACCCCAGTGTTCCCCTGTGAGCCACAATGCCTGGGCCGTACATTGCCCAAAATAGGGCAGTAACTGCCCTCCAATCACACCTGCAGCACTGCAGGGGTGGGGGAGTCATGGATCTGTATCCTGCACACGGGATTGGCAGGGATCAACACCCGTGGGGAACCCCAGTTCTCACCTGTGCCACCGGTGCAGTGCAAAGAGCCCCAGGCCTGCCAAGTGAGCCAGGAGCAGAGCGGCATGGAAGACTCGATTGTGGAAAACCTCTTCTGGGAGGAAGCGCCAGTTCACTGTCCACTTAAACTGGAACTGGCGGCCCAGGTCAAAGGAGCGGGTCAGGTACCCCACGGGGTTCACCAGCAGGAAGGGCAGGCCCAGAAGCACCTGCCAGGGACACACCAGCACCATCACAGAGCCCTACACCAGGTCACTGTTACCCTGGCCACCTCCTGAGAAGCCCAGTGCCATGTGTGGTGACAGGGACAGTCAGCCAAAGACGAAAGTCACCTGAGTTAGACTATTTATCAACACCCAGCTTGCTGTGAGAGGCCACAGGTGCTGGTACTGCTGTCTCCACCCATGGCTCTGCAGCCTGGCAAGGCAGCCCACTATTCCCTGCTGCTGCAGCCGGTGCAAACAGGGACCCACCTGGAGCAGGGCACAGATGCAGAGTTTGGGGATACAGCCCAGGAGACCAAACCGTTGCAGGAGGAGGAAGAGGAGTCCAGGGGCGAAGAGGAGGATGTTCATCTTCACGGACACAGCCAGGCTGAGCAGGAAGCTGCATTACCACTGCGGAGCCCACACGGGAGCCCAGGCAGCCCCTGAGCCAAACGCAGCCTCCTCCTGGGGCTGAGCTGGCTCACGCACCCAGCACCCCGCGGAGAGCAGCTCCCAGCCCCTCACCTGAAGAGGAGGCAGCCCCAGGACCAGCGCTCCTCCAGGAAGAGGTTGATGGCGAGGAAGAGGATGGCCATGGCCACAGGGTCGTTAAAGAGCCGCAGGACAAAGATGGAGTGGATGCGGTATGAGGCGCAGCACATGAAGAAGAAAACATAGGGAGGGACCTTGCAGGGGACAGAAACACAAAAGGGTCAAGCAGCCTGTCCTGGAGTCCCTGCTGCTGCTGCTGAGCTCCTGCACAGCCAGCTGTCCCCTCCCCAGGGGAGTCCCAAGCGCCGGCAGGAGCCCTGGCCGCAGGTACCTTGCTGGTTCGGCAGTAGATGCGGAAGACGAGGAGCAGGTTGATGAGGTAGAGGCCGGCGAAGAGGTACTGTGCCAGGCGGACATCGGAGCCGCGGCCCGTGGCGTGGTACAGCCCCAGGAAGATGTACACGAAGCCGGCGGGGTAGCTGTGGGGAGAGCGGAGTGAGGCCCGGCCCCGCGGCCGGAGGGGAGCCGCCGGTCTCGGCGAGCCGGTGTCACCGTCACTCACACCAGCGGCCCGGTGTCGCCCTTCAGCCGGGTGTAGTCGAGGGTGCCGTTGGCGAATCCCTCCACCTCCTGCATGTAGGCCTTCCAGTCGATCTCGGTGTCTGCGGGACGGCGGGTCAGGGCCGCGGGGGCACTGCGGGCACTGCGGGGGCTGTGGGGCTGACCCGCCTCCAGACCCCCGGCCCGGCCCCGCTGCCAGCGCGGGCTCTTCCCCCGCCGGCCCCTGCCCCTATGCCCTGCCCGGGGATGCCGCCACCCGAGGGGCCGGGGCAGCTCTGTCCCCATGCCTGCGGCATCCCCGGGACAAGCGCCGCCATCACCTCCCAGCTCGGGGCCGCGCCGTCCCTGTCCCCGCACCGCCCCGCCATCCCCGGGGCCAGCCCCGGGCACTCACAGGGGACCCTGCGGATGACCCAGAGGTTGACACCGCCCTCGGCCAGGCAGAGGCAGGCGGCCACCAGCGGGGTGTAGCGGGGCTCCAGCAGCGCCGCCCGCCGCTCCCGCCATGCCCGCCGCAGCGCCGCCGCCCCCCGCCCCGCCGCCATTCCGCTCCGTGTTTCCGCCCGGAGCGCTGAGCGCGGCGCGCCGGCCCGGACCGGAAGCCGCACGTGGCGCCCGGTGCTCCCGCCCCGCTCCCGGGCATGGAGCGGCGGCGCGCGCCCGCCGCCCCGCCCCGGTACGGGCGGCGCCGGTTCTGGGACGCGCTGTACCGGCGGGAGGGCGCCGAGACCCGCGAGTGGCTGGGGGGGCTCTCCCGGTTTCTCCCGCAGCTGGAGCCCGAGCTGCGCCCCGGTGACCGCATCCTCGTCCTCGGTACGTGCCCCGTGCCCGGTGTGCCCGGTGTGCCCGGTGTGCCCGGCGTGCCCGGCGGAGGGCGGGTGGGCGGGGCTCAGGGCCCCGCCGGTGGATGCGCTAGCCGCCAGGGGGCGGTGTGGCACCGGGCCGGTACCGGGAGCTGCGCGCAGCCCGGCCCGGCGGGGCGGCCCCGGCGCCGGTGGCGCTGTGGGACAGCGGCGGGTACAACCGCCCCGTAATCCCACCTGCGGTCTGATCCGCCGGCAGGATTAAGGGGGTATAATCACCGATCCTGTTAGCGGATCAGCCGCCGCCAGCTGCGCTTAATAGCCCCCAAATCCGCCCCCCTCCCCGAGATCCCCCTCGGCCCCCCCGGTGAGCGGCCGAGCCCCGGTGGAGCGGCTCCGAGAGGAGCCCCCGCTTGGTAGGGCGGCTCTCCCCGTGTCCTGTTGAGACACCAGTTTTTCCATCCCTCTCGCCATTGCACCCAGTTAAACCCCGCCGAAGTTCCCTAAGTTCCCACTGGAGTTATCCAGCAAGCTCTTGGGACCAGGGCCGGCTCCTGCCCCACAGCGCACCGGGAGGGATAACTGGGAACGCCCTCTGCCTCTCTCCTGCCTCCAGCCTCCCCACTCATCCCTCCCCAAGGTGAGGGGCTCAGGTGTGCAGGGCTGCCCCAGGACAGGAGCCCAAAGCACCCACCTGGCATGACAGGGGTAATTAATGAGTAGCCCAACACTCACTACCGGGCACCAAAGCCATGACCTGCCCCTCTCCAGCAGCCCCAGCCCACCCACACCCTCCCCCCGACTGCAGGAGCAGAGTTGGGGTGCCAGCACCCCCAAGGGCACCCCGAGCCCTGTGTGAGCTGTGCCCCACACAGGCTGTGGCAACAGCGCCCTGAGCCACGACCTGCACGAGTTGGGCTACACCGACGTCACCAGCATCGACTTCTCGCCCGCCTGCATCGCGGCCATGCGCGCCCGCTACGCCTCCTGCCCCGGCCTGCGCTGGGCCGTCATGGACATCCGCGCCCTCGCCTTCCCCGACGCCTCCTTCGACGTGGTGCTGGAGAAGGGCACCCTGGACGTGCTGATGGTGGAGGAAACCGACCCCTGGGACGTCTCGCCCCAGGCAGCCGCTGCGATGCGCCGGGTGCTGGCAGAGGTACGGGCTGGGGGGACCTGAGTAGGAGTGCAGAGGGTGGACCCCATCCCCATTTGGGGTGGGGGAAGGTGCTGAGTGCCTCCTCACCACCTTGCGTCCCTGTGAGTGCCCCAGCCGGTGTTTCTGTCCTCCCAGCTGCTGCTGCCTCCTCAGCTATGTTGCAAGGGGGCACCTGGGGAGCTCCCAGCAGTCCTGGGAGTGGGAGACTGCCCCCTCTTACAGCCCATCATTTCCTCCCCGGGGAGGTGGATGGAGCAGGATGTGTGCCTGGGTCCTGCTGCAGAAGTGGATGACCCCTCTCGTTATTTGCATGCTAAGTACAAAGACTTGGCAGGAAAAATTGGCCCCGTCCTTTGCGGGTGGCTGTAGGGGACCTAGGGGGACACACCGAGGTGGCCCTGCCAGCCCAGGGCAAGGTGATGACCGCGGGGCTGTGAGAGCTCTGCCCCTCACACCCCCGCCCCAGCTTCGATCGCCTTGCCGGGGTCCCCATCATCTGGTCTGGTGTTGCCATGGCAACTCCCATCAGCATCGACAGGGCCGTGGCGTTGCCACGGGGACGGTGATGCCTCAGGGCCCCGTTAATTGGCAGCGTCGGGACAGGATTGAACCTGTCCCAGCGCGGGGTGCGGGTCCTGGCAGCCTCTCCCACCCTGCGGGAATAACTGCCAGGGTAATTAATTGCTGCACCTCCCTGGCACCCCGGGGTTGCAGGCATGGGGTGCTGGAAGGCTGCTCATGGCTGTTGACAACTCTGCCAGTCTTCTCTTGCCTGGCTGAGCCTGTGAGGGAGTGCAACCCCCAGCAGGGCAGTGGGGCTGTGCTCGCTATCCGTGCCCTGCCCTCCTTGCCAGCGCTGCTGCCTGTCCTTGTCATTTTGCCAAACGGCAGGGATTTAATTTTCCCTTTTTTTTTTTCCCTTTTTAATCCTCTGCTCAATCCCTGCCCTCCCCCAGCATCGCTGGGTACCAGCTTCCACCCGCAGCCTGCTGTCCTCATCCCCAGGGGGATTCGCTGGGTGTTCCCACTTGCTCCCTGTTTTGGAGGTCCCTTCAGAGGGGTCTGTCCGTGGTACCTCCCTTCCCACCGCCATCCTGCTTCACTGGGAGGTTCCCAGCCTCTCCCTGGGGGCATGTAAGAACCTGAAAATCCACCCTGCCTGTGGGGACACCCCAGGGACACCCTGTCCCAGCCAGCTGGGGACAGCGGGTGTGGCGGGAGCGGGAAGCGGCCCCCTTGGCCCCCCTGCTCCTGCTGACGGCGGGGAAGGTTTCCTGTGCTCGTCTCTAAGCAACGGCCATTATTGCTCTATTAACAGGGATGGGATGTGGACATGCGGGATGCCTCGCTCACTTCCAGCTGGAGATCCCTGCCTGCCCCCACCTCCGGGGACCCCCCTCCCCTCCCGTGGGTTGGGAAGCTGTAGGGTCTTCCCAGGGCAGATTTTCAAACGTTTAGCAGGAGGGATAGTGAGTGGAGTGCCCAGAGAGGGATGTAGGGACCTGCCTTCCCCTTTTCCTGGCCAAAACCGGTAAGGTTTGGTTGGAAAGCCACCGCCGCAGCAGGGGAGGACACACAGGCTGCCTGTCCCCTCCGCTGGCCCCAGCCAGAACTCCCCAGCTGGAGCTTCCCGGCAGGATTAAACAGAGCTCGGGAAACCCCCCACTTGGCCTCCAGCCCTGTCCCCTGCAGCGGTGACTCTCTGCCCTTGCCGGGGGGGGCTGGGGGTGTCCCCGCCTGGGGCAGGGTGCCGGGGAGGGGGCTGGACGCCCGCCCGCCCCGGGCATCGCCTTTGCATGCTGAGCACGCGGGCACTGGCCGTAAAAGCCTTTTGACATTGGATAAAGCCAAGCAGGAAAATTGATGTTCTTTTCCATCCTGTTAGCGGGGCTTAATTCCAGCAGGGAGAAAATGGTGATTAAAAGGGTTGAGTCCTTTCCCATCAAACACCCCCCGCATCCCCCTCTGATTCTGGGTGTTGGTGGTAGTACTGGGTGGTCTGGGGAGGGGTGGGTGGGTGGGTATCCCATGCTGTGCTTGCGGGGAGAGCCTGTGCTCAAAAGGATGAAGCTTTTCCCATGCCAGGATTGGGTTTTTATGCTGTCTGCTGTGGGTGGGAATGAAGAATTTTGGGGTGGCAGGGCGAGGTGGAGCGTGGGGGACCCCTGTTCCTGATAGCCCCACCTGTGAGTGGTTTGGGGACAGGTTAGACCCGGGGTGTCTCTTGGGGGGGTCAAGGTTAGGACAAGAGATTTGGGGCTGTGATGGGAAAGGCTGGGAAGGGTCTTTGGCAGAGCTGTGATGGGAAAGGCTGGGAAGGGTCTTTGGCAGATGGTGATGGGGTCCCTGGGAACGGAGCCAAAGGAGTGAACCTCACTGCGTTCCCCCACCCCATCCTGGGGGTTTTCCTGACGCAGGTGAGCCGGGTGCTGCGCCCAGGGGGCTGCTTCATCTCCATCACCTTCGCCCAGCCCCACTTCCGCAAGCCCCACTATGCCCAGGAGGCCTTTGGCTGGTCCCTGCGCCACGCTGCCTGTGGGGACGGCGACGCCGGCGCCTTCCACTACTTCCTCTACGTCATGCGCAAGGGGCAGCCCCTGGACCCCCGGGACGTGGCCCTGGGGCGCCGCCTGCACCAGCCACCCTCGCCCCCCGCCCCACCACCGCCCCCCGCGCCCCCGGATGACGACGAGGACTATCTGCTTGCCATCCAGCTGTGACCCAGGGGGCTTTCCCAGCCTCCCCCCACCCAACAAAGCCTTGAGATGCTCCATCCTCACAGGTGGGAGACAGGGAAGCGCTCCATCCCCCTGCAAGGTGCCCGGTGATGTGGGTAATGGGAGCAAAGGGGGGGATACTTGGCCGCCTCTGAGGGGCACAGGGATGCTCTGGTGATTCTGTGCCCCCTCCCTGGCCTTTCCTTGCTGAGCTGGAGAGCAGCCAGGATTCCAGGCTTTGCAGCCAGTAATGAAACCAAATCGGGTTTAATTTCACCCATCCATCTTGCAGGGAGTGGCTCCCTGTCCCCCATCCCTTCCCCTTGGCACAGACAGCTGGGCTGAGGGCACAGTGGGGCTGCTGGCACTGGGTATAGGGGCAGAATTGGGGGTGCCCACTGCTCCACCCCCCACCCCATCCTGCACCAGGACCCCTGCCCCAGCTTCCCTGGCCACGGGGGTGTGCAAGGGCACTGTATTCTTGTCCTTGTCACCCCCCCAAGTCGTGGGGGGTCCAGGCTGGAATGTACCAGCACGGGGCAGGCGGTGCCACAGGGCTGGAAGGGCAGCACATCTGCTTCTTTCCCCATCCCTCCCCACTCCTGCCTGTGGTGTGCCACACAATCCCAGTGTGCCACACACACCTGGCCCGTGTCCCCCTGTGCCTGGGGCCAGCAGCACGGTGACACGTGGGTGCCACTGGCAGTGTCCCCAGAGGCTCTTTGGGCACCAACTCCCCCTGGGTGGGCAAAAGGGACCTGTCCTGGGCTGGCTGGCGGTGACACCACAGAGGCACAAGCTGCTGGGCTGCTATTTCAGGCAGAAGGTGTAAGTGGGTCAGCCAGCGGCTCCCCCTGCACCAGGAGCCAGCAAAGGGCTCCGGGGTAAGTCCCCATCCTGGCCATGCCACCCCATTCTGGCCATGCCATCCCATCCTGGCCATGCCACCCCATCCCACAGGCACCCCAAAACCAACTGGCACGAGGAAGGGACAGAAAGGAGCAGGCAGCTGCCGGCTTCACCTGGGTACATGAATGTATTTTATTCATTGCATTTTGTTCACCAGTACAGTGAAAAATGGCATTTAAATTTACAATGGATCATTCGTAGAACATCATGACACAAGTATCTTTTTTTTTCTTTTTTTTTTCTTTTTTTCCTCAGTTTTTTGTTTGTTTTTTTTGTGTTTTTTTGTGTTTTTTTGGTTTTTTTTTTGCGTCGTTGTCTCCATAAATGCCACTCGTAGGTTATTGAAAAAGATGACAAGTTTCTCATGCACATCAGAACCCCCCGAGAAGCTTCTTAAAAAATAAAATTAAATTAAAGTACAAAATTAAAAACAACGACTCAGGCCGGTCCCTGCCCTCCCCACTCTCCCCTGACCCCACCACCCTCGAGTGAGGGGCAGTGCTGGGACCCCCCCTGGCACCTGCAGCTGGCCCCGGTGGGCTCTGCCCCGGTTCTGCCGGGAAGGAACTGCAGGGCCGGTGATGCTGCCAAAGCCTCTGGTGCTCCCGCTGCCTGCCAGCGGGGGGGTCGGGCCAGGGGTCCCTGCTCCCCTCCCTCCTCCTGTGGCTTTCCTCATGCTCCCTCCATCACTCTCGCCCCCCTTTAATTTTTGCCCTCGTTTTTTTCTTCTTTTTTTGTCTTTTTTTTCTTATGGAAAAAAATATGAACCTTTTTTTTTTTTGTTGTTGGTTGGTCGGTTGTTTTCGTTTGTTTTCTCGATGCAGTTACTTTGACATCTCAACGTCAGCAGATCGTTTTTAACAAAGATTCGGATATAAAAATACAAATATGAGGAGTTTCTGTTTAAAAAGAAGCGTGCCGGAGTGGTGGGGCTGACCCTCGGCCCCCGGGCCGGCCGCCCGGGCCACCAAGCTCATGCAAAAAACGATGGAGCAAAAAATGTCTCTGGACAGCAGCGCTCCCCCCCCAGCTCATGGGGCCGGGTCGCCCCGGAATTCGGGGACCCTCCGCCAAGGAGGATTGGGGGGACGCGCCGCGGAGCGGGGGGCTGGACCCCTTCCCCGGGGAGGGGGGGGTCTTCGCCCAGGGTGGGGGGCTCGGCGGCTTGTCCCGGCCCCGGGGGAGGCGGAGGGGTAAAGTGCATGGCTCGGGGGGGGGTGGTGGTGGCTGCAGGGCCCCCCCCCGGGCCGGGGGGGACAGCGGGCATGGCCTCCCCCTCCTGGTCGGCGGTCCAGCCACATGCGGGGCGGCGGGCTGGAGCTGGAGCGGGGCTCGGCCGGCGGTCCTGGCGGCGGGTCCCGGCTTACACCCCCGGCGGCGACTTCTCCGTCATGCCCTTGAGCACCTCGTCTATCCGGTCATCCTCGATCACCACTGCGGGGACAGGGGGGGCGCGTGGGCGAGGGGACGCGACAGTCTCTGCCCCTCTCTCTACCCCCTTCGGGCTCCAGGTGTGCCCCCGGGTGCCGGGCAGCCGGGCAAAGGGGGTTCAGGTGGGTACAGTCGGGGTGAAGGGTGGGGGATCACCCCCCTGCCTGGCTTGGGTAGGGGCAGCATCCCCCCTGCAGCCAGCGGCTGCCTCTGGATGGGTGATTAGGGAAGGGGGGGCAGGAATAGACCAGGAAGGACCCCCCCTCCTCTCTGCGGCAGGCGCTGATGAGAGCAACAGGACTGGAATGGGTAATGACCCAGCGGGGGGAGCACCGCCTGCTCGGCGGGGGTGGCAGCCAGACCCCCACCAGCATCACCCGCTGCGCAGGACACCCACCCTCAGCATCGGCACCGCTGGCGGGGGAGCCGGACAGCCCCCCACTAGCATGGCGGGCTGCACGAACCCCCATCAGCATCACCATGGGGGGCTGAACAGCCCCCTGTCATCTCACCTTCCAGAGAGACCCCCCCCTCCCCCAGCATCACCCACTGGCAGCCCCCTCCCCAGCAGCAGCGGTGGGAGGCTGGGCAGACCCCCGTTAGCATCACCAGGGAGCTACACACACACCTTCCACCTTCCCCCTACCCCACACCACGGCCGGCTGGGCAGGTACCTCCCATCAACATCACTCCGGGGATGGAGGGCAGACCCCCACCCCAATATCACTGCTGGGTGGTCAGTAATCCCTCCATCACCCTCCTGGGGGTGGATTAACCAGATCCCACCCCCCACATCCATCGCCAGAATCACTGTGAGAGCAGAGGGACCCCCCCAACACCACCGAAGGAGAAGCATCCCCCCATCAGCCCGGGGGGTGCTGCTAGACCCAGCCTCCACCACTGCAAAAGGGGGCAGTGGAGCAGGCAGCGCTCACCCCCGTGGGGCTGGGGTGTATTTGAGCTTGGGGGGGAACTCTCCCCTCCCTCCTTACCCCTGCAGCTAAAGGAGGGGTGTTTGCCTATGCAGGACCCCCAAGCAGGTGGGATGGGGGCTTCAGGAAAAGTGGGGGCCATTTTTAAGGCTCCCCAAGGCATTGGGAAGGATCAATGGTGACAGATCAGGGTGCAGGCAGGAGAGGGGGGCAGTTCTTTGGGTCTGATGGAAGCAGGGGAGATGCTGCTGGAGATGCTGCTGGGGTCTCTGCAGCAGGAGGTAAAGTACGGGGGGGCAGGACACAGCTGTGCTCACGGAGCCCTGGGGGACAGCAAATGCGGGGGGGATCTGCTGATCAGCGTGGCCAGAGGCTGCTGGTGGTCTCTGCGGCAGGCAGAAATGTGAAGGGAGAGAGGAGAGGGACCGGGAGGGCTGTTCTGGTGACCCTGGGGTACAGGCTTGTTTGTAAGAATGAGAAGGGGCAGTCCCGGGGGGCTGGGGAGCAGTTCCGAGGGGTCCCAGGGGCACTCGCGGAGGTGCTGGGGGAGAGTCCCAGGGGCAGCCCCAGGGATGCTGCAGGGTAATCCCGGGGGTAGTCCCGGGATGAGGCGGGGGCTGTTGCAGGGCAGCAGCGGGGGAACAGTGTGGTGTCTGTAGCAGGGGATGGGGGAGCCTGTGGTTTTGGGGGCGGGTGTCAGTCACAGAGCTGGGGAGGCTCAGGGTTGCCGGGGGACAGTGCTGGAGCTGATGTAGGGCAGACATGGGAGATTCTGGGGATGCTGGAGGCAGTGCCAGAGGTGGCAGGGGACAGTGCTGGGGATGCAAGGCAGAGCCGGGAGTCGCAGGAATGCAGTGGGGCAGTGCTGGGGATGTTGCAGGGCAGAGACAGGGGCTGCCGTGGGGCAGAACTGGAAATACAAAGGCTGAATCGGGAGTCTGGGGATCTCGTGAGGCGATATTGGGGGTGCCAGGGATGCACTGCCCAGTGCCGGGAACGCCGGGGAAGCAAGGGCAGAATCCTGGATCCTGGGGTTGCTACGGGAAGGTGCCGGGGATGCCGGGGGGCAGTGCCGGGGATGCTGCAGGGCAGATCCGGGGACGCTGCAGGGCAGAGCCGGGGATTCCAGGGCAGAGCCGGGAATGCAAGGACGGATGCGGGGGTCCCGGGGATGCCGTGGGGCAGCGTCAGGGATACAGGAGGCATTGCCGGGGACGTTGCAGGACAGATGTGGGGGTTCCGAGGATGCCGTGGGGCAGTGCCGGGGTTGCAGGAGTCAGCACCAGGCTTAAAAGGACAGATCCGGGGGTCTCGGGGATGCCGTGGGGCAGTGCCGGGGATGCAGGAGTCAGCAGCAGGGATGCCGGGGATGCTGCAGGGCAGATCCGAGGGTCCCGGGACAAAGCCGGGGATGATGCTGCAGGGCAGATGCGGGGGTCCCGGGGCTGAGGCGGGGTTGGGGGGGCAGAGCGGGGGTCGGCGGTACCTCTCTTGGCGCGGCCGATCTGTCCCAGCTTGGGGGGCCGCTTGCCCTGGTTGCCCCCGAAGAAGGCGTTGGTGTCCTGCAGGCGGCAGCTGAAGGGCAGCTCCCCCGCCTCGGGCTCGGCGCCGTAGCGGCCCACCTTGTCCTCGCCGTAGGGCAGCACCTGCGACATGGCGGGGCCGAGCGGGCCGAGCCGCGCCGCGCCGAGCCGGGAGCCGGTCTGCGGCGGCGGCGGCGGCGGCGGGGAGGAAACCCGGGCGGAAGGATGAAGTCATGCATCCGGGGGGAGCGGGGACCCCCCCGGCGGGGGGCGGCTCCGGAGCGCCGCGGCCCGGCCCGGCCCGGCCAGGACAGGGACGGGGGAGCCCCGCGGATGGTGCCCCGGGACCGCCCGCCTGGGATGGAGACCCTACCGGCAGCCCCCGAGCACAGCGATCCCCCCTCCCCGGCACGGCCTTTCCCTCTGCTCAGGGGTGCCCCCAACCACGGGGTGCCCCTACGGAGAGGTGAACCCTTGTCACAGGGTCAGACAGCTGAGGACCACCAGACACAGCTGGGCCCTCCCCTGGCGTGCAGAGATGTCAAACGGAGCCCCAACACCCTGCTCCAGTCCCCCAGCACCCCACAGACCGGAAAGCTCAACCCTCAGGATTCCAGGCCAGCTCCCACCCTGGGTCTACCTCAGCCCCTCGCTTGGGTCCCTTGCCCAACACCCATCCAGGCACCCACTCCTGTAGCCCCATTCAGTGCTGGGATTCCCCCTGGCAGCCACACCAGTCCTGCCTCAAGCCCTGCCAGTCCTCTCGGCCCCCACGTGTGCATGTGTTTGTACACATCCTCCTATTCTGTATCTCTGCAGGAATGCAGGGGCACACAGGTGTAATTCTGCAGGTGTCTGTAGGTAGGGCAATGTGGGGACTGTGTCCTCGGACACCCCTTGTCCCACTGACCCTTCCCTGGGGCTCTCTGTGGAAAAGGGGAAGGGCTATCCCCTGTGGGGACCTGAGATGGGGCAGCAGGGGTGATGTCAGTGTCCCCCCAGAGCTCCATTTGTATCTACACACCTCTACCCCAGACCCACCCTGGATCTTTCCTCCTACATTGTTGAATGCCAGGGCAGTGATTGCATTAACTGGTGGTTGATTAATTGGCCTTGGTGTTTCTGAGCAGCCTCACCCAGGACCTCCCCCATTCAGGTCACCTGGGGCAGCTGGGGGGGCTATTTAAGCTCAGGATAAAGTTGGTGCTTCTTGAGTGAACCGTGGGTACGGCCATGACCCCTGGATCTTGGAATGATGGTGACAGCAGCAGGGCTATGGCTGGCTGGAGAGGACAATCCTGGCTTGGAGCAGTCTGGTTCCTGCTGTTCCCTCATATCCATGTCCTGCTGCTCATATGGAGGTTCTGGGTTGGCAGCAAATCCAGATCCCTGAATGGAAATGGCACTTCATTCATGCCAGCCCACAGCCCCGTGAGAATATCTTGACAGGGTGAGAGTGGCGTTTTCCAGACAGCCCTGTGGTCCATCTTGTTGTTCCAGCATCTCCATAGTCTGAGATCTTGTTGAAAGGTGCTGCAGAAGAGCATCAGCTGGGCTGGTCCATGACGGCAGGCAGGTTCTTCTATTTTGGGAAGGCTCAGCCATGCTTTTACCTTTGTGTCTGGATCTGCAGAATATCGGTCCCCGCTGTCCCCTACCAGAGCCAGGTCGGGGCAGTGGTACCTGCTCTCCTGGCAAGGCAATTCTTTTATTCATGCCTTTGCTGGGGAACCAGCTTGAACTTTTTCATGTGAAAGCTTCTGCTCCTGTGAAAAGTGCCTGGGAAAATAGGCAAGAGGCCCACGCTGAGATGTGGCCTGCTTTTCCCGTTGCTGAGCCCACGTGCCACTGCCCGTGGGCAGGGACAGGCAGCCCGTGGCACGCGCGGGGCCGGGGGTGAGTGACAGAGGAGCAGATGGGCTGTGTGGGATGTGAGTGGCACCGGTGCAGCACTCCAGGAGGGTTTCCAGCCTGGCAGGCTGCTGGGGAGAGGCTGGAAAG